AACGCTATTTGCGGAGGTCGGGGTGTTTTTTCCTCTCTTGACTCCTGTTCATGTTCCTCTTCCCCTTCCTCCCCGACAACAGAGATTAGCAGGAGGGGGGCTCGGAGCAGGAAAATAAGCGGCAGAACCCGACGGGCGGGTCGGGCGGGCGGACCCTAACGAGCGGGTCGGGCGGGCGGACGGAGACGGCCGGGTCGAGCGGGCGGGTCGCTGAAGCGTCAGTCCTGCATGAGTCGCGAAGAAATCTCGAGCGATAGCGCGACTCCCAAGTAAATCGTGATGAAGTCCAGAGCGACAGCGTGATTCCTCAGTGTCGAGGGCGCGGCGATTTAGTAAATTGCAAGAACACGATGTAACATACTTTGCATGGGGATATACGGCGGGAGCCGATGTTGTTGTAGTCTTGGGGGCCACCAACGCAGTCTGAGCCCCAAGACTTGCCCCCTGTAATAAACAGAGTACGAGCCCCGGGATGGGCACTTCAATGGACAAAAATTCACTGTGCACTTGCTCTTACTCTTTAGACATGACAATACTTACGCATTCTTGAGAACTGCCAAGTCAAAATTGCTTACCCTGGAAAAATGACATTTCAAAAATGACGACGACGGCGAGCCCTGGGAGCCTCTGGGAACCTCTGGGGACATTCGAAAACCTCAAACAACCCTCGAAGACCCTCGAAGACAGTCGAAAACCCTCGAAGACGACGACCCTTCTCGCCCGACCGTTCGCTAAGGGTCGCGGACTGGTCGACGACGAGCCCCGCCTCGGCGTCCGCGCTCGCCGGCCTCGCCGCCGCCGCGCGCCGCCGCCGTGCCCCGACGGGTCCTCGCAGACCCGCGGGGTGAGGGCGCCGCCGTCGGCGTCGTCGGCGTCGTCGGCGTCGTCGGGGAGGGGTGTCGACGCCGTCGTCCTCGCCGGCGTCGTCGGAGGAGGCGGACGAAGGGGAGGAGGAGGAGGAGGAGGAGGAGGAGGAGGAGGAGGAGGAGGAGGAGGAGGAGGCTTTGCAGACCCACATTACGAAGACCCACCGCAGCGCGAGTGATCCTGACAACTGGGCGGCGGGGTCTATGTGTCAAATATGCCTGACTGAATTTCATTGCCGTGCCAGACTGGTTGAACATCTTAAGAGAGTGCCTAGGTGCGCGCATTCGTGGTTGCAGAGTGGCAGAGCCATCGAGTGTAGCCCTGATGAATGTAAGGAAGCTGACCGAGTGTTCCCGAGAAAAAAAACAAACAAAAGGGGTTGCATGACAACTATGCTGAGAGCAGTGCCCACCGATTTACGTACGCGCCACCCGTTGGACCCTTGCTCCCCCCCCCCTGCCCGCGACCCCTTTCTTCCCGTCCTCTCTCAGGCGAACTTGGATCAGGAAGGAGGCAGCGAGGAAGTCCAGAAGTGTGTTGTGGCCAGCGGATTTGTCCCCACCTCCTCTGCCTTGCATTGTGATAATTGACGGACAGGATAAGGAGAATTCCGCACTCGAGCAACAGGCTCGCATTCAGAAGAACCTCCTGGGTCGTCAGGTGCAGGTCGTTCGCGTCAGAAGCACCCAAGAGGGAGAGGCCCAACTGTGGGCTAGGAGGATTCTTGATGGGGCGGTTGCTGCTGTCATTAGTTTCCCCCCCCCGACAAGACGTGGAACCCCGCTCGCAGTGGTTTTGACGGGGGGTCTTGCCTCCCCCCCCTCCGATCTGTCTCCTCCCCCTTGTGCCTCGGGACCCTTTGCGAGGCTGAGTATAAGCAAGTGGCCGAAGCTAACGCTCTTTGGCGTATGTCGACTGTCATGCTTTATGCCGCCGCTGAGGCCAAGATCCCAATGATTCTCACCAACCCGAAAGGAATTGTCGGATATCCCGACCCCTGGGAGGAGGAACCTGTTCGATGGGCCAGCTTGCACAGGGAAAGCTATAAGACCCATCGATCCTTGCCCCGCAGGTGGAGCCCCGACCGCGCCCAAATGATACTTGCTAGCACTGCTCTTTCGCTGCCCCCTTTCGGCAGCCACGCGGATGTGGATGAGTGGGCGGGGGATGTGCCTCTTCTCTTTTGCACCGCCATCGTTGCCGCCGCGTATCAAGCGATGTCGGGGGGGGGCCACGAGGAGGGACCCGTACCAGGGCAAAAACGCCCATGACGTGGGGGATGAGCCTGTTGTGGGGTAACCTCTCCTCCTCTGCACGTGCACTGTTTCTTCCTTAGGATTGGCAGCTTGAACCACATGTCATCAGGTCGAGAGAAAGAGAGAGAGGAGGAGGAGGAGGAGGAGGAGGAGGAGGAGGAGGAGGAGGAGGAGGAGGAGGAGGAGGGAGGAGGGAGGAGGAGGAGGAGGAGGAGGGAGGAGGAGAAGAAGGAGGAGAAAGAGGAGGAGGAGAAGGAGGAGGAGGAGAAAGAGGAGGAGGAGGAGGAGGAGGAGGAGGAGCGACGGGAAGCTGTTGGCCCGCTTCGGTTCCCAGGGCCGGGGGGCCCTCGCTGGGCCCCAGGACCGCCCGAAGACAGCTCAGGATGCACAGCCAGCCCTGGAGCTGGGGTCAGGACATCTGGGGCTCGACGCTGTGAAACAGCACGGGGCCGGAAGAGGAGACAGGGGGGGAGGACAAGAGGAGGAGTAGCAGGAATGCGTTGGAAGAGGGGGCAGGACGGCGGAGGGGGAGGAGGGGGCGGCGGCGGAAGCGGCGGCGGCGCTCGCAAGAGTCCGGTGGCCGTAGAACGAGGGAGGTGCGAGGAGATCCCCCTCATCAAACTGCTCTTGGAGGCCTGGAAATGGGCGCCAACACCAACACCAGGGGTTTTGCCTCCATAGGGGGAAGATGGTTCCAGATTTCGGTGTTGGTGGTAATCTTTCGGTCACCTTGGAAGCCAGAATAATGCCAACATCACCGAAATCGGGATCTTCTTCCCTCGGTGGAGGCACACCGCCGAAATTAGTGTTGGTGTCAACCTCTAGGCCTGCGATGCCCGGCGCCTCACACACGAGGGGCACCCCCTGCGCATGCGCAGGGAAGGCCACCGCACAGCCCGCGCCGAAGCGGCTGCTCTCCAGGCCGCGGGAGGAGCAGGGCAGGCTCACAAAAAGAAACCTTCCCGCGACGACGGGCCAGCAGGAAGCAGCAGCGCCCTGGGAGCAAGGGGGGGACGAGAGGCTGGCGGCCCAGCGGAGCGGGAAGGGCGCGAGGAGAGCGCGCAGGGGGACGAACGACACGCCAGCAGGAGGGGCCGACGTTGTCCAAGCCACGTCTCCGCTGCCGAACTCGGCAGAACAAGCTCGACTTGCGACTGGTGGCACAGAGTCACTCCAGCTGGGCCGACGTGGCCCCACAGGGCATGCTTATTGCGTCGAGCCTAATCAGGCGGCACACTCACGGAGCAAATTCACCGAACACCTGGAATCCTGGAACGCCTAAAACAACGCACAAACTCGGACTGCCTCGGCTGAGGCGCATGGTCGCCTCAATCACTCTCTGCCCCGCTAGCTCAAGGTGGCCAGGTGGGCGCGGGGCAGCATATGTGCAGAGCACCATGTCAGGCATGTGGAGACGGGATGCAAATAGGCCCAACAAAAAGACACACAAACTAAGCCGAACAAGACGATGCAGAGTATGTACACATTGATACATATGTGCATGTAGATATACGACTTGAGAGATCAACCCTGAAACAACGGGGATGATGATGAGTAGAAGGGCAGGGGTAGGGGGGAGTGGGAGGATCGCTTTGGAGGGACATGGAAGCTCAAGAGGGACATCGAGAATACAATCGGAGCGCGGGGGGAAGAGGGAGGAAAAGCAGGGGGGACACGGGTAGGAGGTGTTTTCTGACAGAGCCCCCTGTAGAGGCTGGTGGGGGAAGGAGAAGGAAACGATGGGGAGAAAGGAGGAGGAAGGAACAGGAGGAGGATCGACAAATACAGAGGAACTCCAACACGCCCACCCCCCGCTCCAAGAAGCCCACACCGAAGGCCGCCCGACCCGAGTGGCCAGAGTACCCGAAAAGTTCGCCCAGCGGCGGGCGGGTCCGAAACCAGCTGCTCGCAGCAATGTCTTCACACGCCCTCCCCCCGCTCCAAGAAGCCCACCCCGAAGGCCGCCCGACCCGAGTGGCAGCGGGGGTAGGAGAGCTCCAAACCATACGCACCACCACCAGCCCTGGCCAGTCCCATCCTGGGCCCTGGACTGGCGTGCAGGCCCTCCGGCCCCAGGCCTGGAAGTCTATACACCAGGTCGGGGCCCAGGGCCCAGGACGGAGCTGGCCAGGGCTGGTGGTGGTGCATCCTTGGCGTCCCTCCGAGGGGGGGCCGCGGCGCCCAGTCGTGGCGGCCCCGGCGGCCACCGCCGCGGCGCACACGTCGTCTTCGGCGGCGAGGTCGCGCGCCGCCGCCGCCGCCATGCTGCCCAGGAAGGGCGCGTCGAGCACGCCTGGCGCTCCGAGCGTGGCCCCCGACCCTCGGAGATCGAGCGGGGGAGGCTGGGAGGCCCCCGTGGCCTGGACCTCCAGCGGGCCCAGAAGACTAAGGGCAGCCTCCAGCTGGCGGCGCGCACGGGAGGGCAAGGGGGAGGAAGGGGAAAGGCTTCTTAGATGGAGGACTGCTGCTGCGTAGACGGCGCGGGCCCTGCCTCCACAGACAAGGCCCGCGCCTTCTAGGAAGCAGGCGTGCCTCTGAGAAGCCTTCCCCCCGCCCCCTGCCCCCCTCTGCGCGGGGCCTATCCGGAGCAGCATCCTCCCATACGCACGCGGCCGCCTCGAGCAGCCCGTGCGGCAAGCCTCGATGCGGCCATGTATCGACCATGCTGCGTGCTGCCAGGCGAGAAAAAGAGAGAAAGAGAGAGAGAGAGAGAAATATAGAAACACAACAGAGAGAGAGACAGACAGAGAACGAGAGAGAGAGAGAGGGGGGAGGCACACAGACGACGAACGCGCAGGCGGGCACAGCAGGCACAGACGACGAACCCCCTGCCTCCTTCCCTGGCCCTCTCAGGATCCAAGGAGGGTGAGCGCGCGCCCAGGCGCGCGTAGGCGTTGGCCACCATCGCCAGGGACTGCGGCGGGAAGCGCTGCAGCTGCGCCACGACCAGCGGCTTGAGTCCCTGGAGACCAGCTGCTCTCAACGTCGTCCCGTCCATCTCTGCTTGAGTGAAGGAGAATGGGGGAGGAGGAATCGGAGGATGAGCAGCACTCAAATCAGTAGGAATAGGGTCAAAGCTTTGCATCAGCTACGTCCTCCAGGAACTCATCGTCGCGCACGACCAGGCGCGCGAACGCCTGCCGCCGACGGGTGAGGCATTACACAGGTTGCGGACGCCGGTCCGACAACGACTGCTGGTTTCACGCGTCTCGTACATGTAACACGCGCAAACTCAAAGGCGATGTGTCAGGGTGCAGAACACATGAATCGAACTACATGTGCAAGTTCCTTGCCGTTCAAAGTTATCAGCACTTGCCCATGAACTCCAACCTCTCGCGTCACCAGACCCTCGCTCCGAAACCTCGCCTGGGCCCCACCCGCAGGACGGGATGTTCGGGGTCAACTGCCCACGCTTGCTCCGCCTCTTTGGCTGTTTCTGGATTCCGACTGCAGCTTGGGAGGGCGGTGCAACAGCGACTCGTGCGGGCCCCAAGAGTATACACCACCACCACGTCGATTCCTCCTCCCTCCTCTACCCTCCTCTTCCCTCCCCTCCTTCCTGGGAGAGGGAGCGGGCGGGGGCGGTGGTGGTGCATATGTTCCTGAGCCCCGTAACTCGAACACGCAGGAAGAGCGGCTGCAACAGGGGCGCGTTGCCCAGGGGGGAATGCATCGCGTCCAGGGGCTCCGATCGCCCATACCCTCCACGAGGCTCCCCAGCGACAACGCATAACGTAATGCCCGCCCCTGGGCCGTCCACCCCACCTGCCTCCGCCGAAGCAGAGCTCCTCCCCCCGAATCGGCCGCACGCCAGAGCGACCCCGAGGCAAGAGTGACCTCTGGTGCGCGGGCGAAGAGGGGGCGCAAGGTGGCCAATTCCAAGTAAGAGATCAGCCGCTGTCGCGTGGCGCTCAGCGATCGGGGCCCGCACCACAGGTCACCCCAGCGAAAGGGCGCTCTTGCGCGTACAGTTAGGGTCCGACCACAAGAAACCGTCCGCAAGACACCCAACCCTGAGACCCTGGGGCGTCCATTGATTTCTGGCCCCATCCCCTCCCGCCTGCGCCAGCTGCGCGACGGCCGGCGCGGGCAGGAAGCAGAGCGAGGCGGGGCCCCGGTCCTGCGAGCCCGCCCCCTCGCTGCCGCTGCCGCCGCCGAGCCTGCCCATTCTCTCTCGGTCGTCCCGCTCCTCCCTGCTTCCCTTGCCTCCATTTCTCTGATTCTCCAGCTCCTCCCCCTTTTCTTCGTCCATCCTTCCCTCCCTCCCTGCACCCATCTGCTCTCTCTCTCTCTCTCTCTCTCCCTCCCTCCTCCTCCTCCTCCTCCTCCTCCTCCACCTCCTCCTGCTCCACTCCTCCTCCCCTCCTCCTCCTCCCTCCTCCTCCTCCTCCTCCTCCTCCTCCTCCTCCTCCCCCTCGTCCTCCGTTCTACGTCAGACCAACCTGAACAAGAGCTGTGCGTTTGTCCTCCTATCCTCCTCCTCCTCCTCCCCTCCTCCTCCCCCCCTCCTCCCCTCTCCTCCTCCTCCTCTCCTCCCCCTCTCCTCCTCCTGCTCCTTACGTTAGACCGTTAGACCAACCTGGAAAAGAAGCTGTGGCGTTTGTTGTCCTCCTCCTCCCCTCTTCCTTCTCCTCCTCCCCCTCCTCCCCCCCCCCTCCTCCTCCTCCTCCCCTCCTCATCCTGCCTCCTCCTCCTGCTCCTTACGTTAGGACCAAAAGAAGCTGTGGCGTTTGTCCCTCCTCCTCCTCCTCTCCTCCTCCTCCTCCTCCTCCTCCTCCCCCTCCTCCTCCTCCACCTTCTCCTCCTCCTGCTCCTCCTCCTGCTCCTTACGTTAGACCAACCTGGAAAAGAAGCTGTGGCGTTTGTCCTCCTCCTCCTCTTCCTCCTCCTCCTCTTCCTCCTCCTCCTCCCCCTCCTCCTCCCCCTCCTCCTCCTCCTCATCCTCCTCCTCCTCCTCCTCCTACGCGTTGGCAGAGCAGGGGGCCCAGAAGTTGTGCACATGTGCCAGCTTGAAGAGACGTAGCCAGAGGTGGGACGTATCGGCGATAGGGTGGAGGACGGAGGGGGGGGGGCAGGAGGGTAGAAAGAGAAGGGCAGGGGGCGCACGGAGAGCAGGCGTGGAGGAGAACGATGTGGGCGTGGGAGCGGGAGTGGAGCGAGGTGGAGGGAGGGGTGGAGGGGTAAAACGGGGAGGGGCCGACAAGAGGCCGAAGAGCACGTCATGCTCAACCTGGACTAACCGCCATCGCGCTTACAGCGGCTGGTGCGCACTGGGCCCTTGCTGCTCTGCACCTGCGCTTCGGAATACCTCCAGAAAAGGGGGTCGACTGGCTTGACGTGCAGCCTCGGTGATCGAACAACCGACCGACCCAGGAATCCCCGACACCAAATGCCGACTCCTCTCCAGGTGGTCTCCAGGTGAGCGACCTGGTGGAGGTACGGCAGGCTCGTGCCGTGACGACCCCAGCGTTGGTTTCTGACACCGCGTGGATCGTTCAACCCCGAAGAATCGGTGGCTTGTCGATCGCCAGATTGCTCCATGTCGCCCGATTCTGGGCCACTGGCGGCCTTCAACCTTGAACGCCCGCGGCGGCGTCGGCGGCGTGTGGACACGAAGCGAACCTGCCGAACAACGCCAGCGCAGCGCCACCGAGGGGGCAGAGGAGGACGAGGCTCGGCAGCAGCAGTTGGGCCGCGAGGCGGGGCAGAAACGGCAGGACGCGGATCGGGAGGGCAGGGGACAGAGGGAAACAGGCATTCGGCTGGCTCGTGCCGCGACGACACGTGCACTGGTAAGGCGAAGCCAGGGCGAGGATAAACTCGGGTGAGGATAACTCGAGAATCTCTGAGATCCCGCGGCTCTTGCGGATGTCTTGGGCGCCACGGCCTTCTCACGGCGTTCCGGAAAGCTCTGAGAGCGTTCTGGGACGCTCTGGAACGGATTCATCCTCGTCCCACCCACCCCTGTCCTAAGTGGCTTCTGAAACCACACGATTTCAACCGTGAGCGGTCGCGGCTCTCCAGTACAGCATATCGCTCGATAACGGCCAATTGCGGGCCACAAGCGGCATTCAACCTTGACCGCCAGCGCTGGAGTCGCCGCCGCGTCGACACGACGCGGACATATAGTACAAAGGACGGGGGAGGAGGAGGAGGAGGAGGAGGAGGAGGAGGAGGAGGAGGAGGAGGAGGAGGAGGAGGAGGAGGAGGAGGAGGAAGAGGAGGACCAGTGTAAACCCAAGAGGCATCAACGATGTTCGAATAAACCCTCCCTCCAAGCTCCCTGTTCATAGGCCCCTACAACGGTTCGTTTTTACTGAGGGCACTGCTTCGTGGGAAGACAACTGGTTGAATACCTTGAAGCATGCCACAAAGAGTGTTTCTCTGGATTCCAACACCTCGGATCAACCTGACTGTTGCGTCTTGACGATCCTGGATCGTACCAGAACTCCATTGCTGGAACTTGAGCAACGCGAACCAACATGGCTTGGCTTGTGCACCCTCATAAGTCTGAATTCTTCCAGAACGCCATTTCTGGTACGTTTCTGATGGGAAACCGTGAAACTCTGGCAAATTATTTTTTCAACTCTGGCAAATGATTGAAACGAGAACCACACCTTGAAAAGAAGCCGCCCTCAATCCGTGAAACCCTTGCAAATCTTTAAGACAGTGCGCGGCGCTACAGCGAGAGCCACCTTTTGAAAATGAACCGCTCTCAATCCATGAAACTCCTGCAAAGCTTAAAACAAGTGTGCGTGGCGCTAAGGCGACAACCACATTCTGAAAACGACTCGCCTTCAATCCGTAAAACTCTTGCAAACATTCGAGACGAATGCACGCGGCGCAAAGGCGAGCGCCACAAGTTAAAACCACCCGCCCTCAATATGTGAAAATGATGTCATTTTAAGCTTCAGAGTTATAAGTGGCGAGGAAGTCTCAAACGAAACGCCCGGCCCGCCCGAAAAACAGGCCTCGGGGTGTGACAGGGAGAAATTATGTATAAGGAGAAGGCATGGAGGAGGAGAGGAGGAGGAAGAGGAGGAAGAGCAGAAGGCGGAGGACGAGGTGGATGACAAGGAGGTGGAGGAGGAGAAGGAAGAGGAGGCGGAGGAAGACGCGACCGCCCGAGCGCGCCCGAGGGACAGGACCTCAGGTTCGTGGCGGTGGCCAGCGCGCTCGCCCTCAGGACCGCGGCGGCCGCGATAGTCTGCCACAGCATCCACCACCTGATCTCTTTCGCTCGCTGGCCTGCTAAACCCCACGCCTACAACGAAACCAAGGACGCACCAGTCCCGCAGCCTCGCCTAAAATTAGGCGGCTGCGGAGGGCGCGCGCCGACGCGCCAGTCTTCTGCATCGCCAGCGCACAGGACCTCCTCAACGCTCACCACGTCGCCCAACGACCACCGCGACTTCGGACAACCACCATGGCGCCGAAAGCATCAACCAAACATCAACCCAAATGGCAACCACGACCACAACGACCACAACCGTCACCGAAGCCAGCAGCACGACCCAAACCAGCAGTGGGCTCAGGACTGGCAAAGTGGAGAGAGGATAACCCCTACTTGGTCTGGAAGACCGACAAGAACATCACCCCTGAGGACAAGAGCCAATTCACAAAGCACGAGAAGGAGGAGGACCGTCGAGACAGCACCGAGAAGACGACCACACAGCACAACGCCATCATTGACACCATCACCTCGAGAAAGAGGGAAGCGACCAACCACCCCCAATGGGAGGAACCGCTAAGATCTTCATTGGTATGCACGACAAGCTCCCGATGCTCAGATCCTACGCGCTCGTCGCACTCAGGAACAACCCAGCCGAACTACAGGTAGAAGACTCGCTCAGCATGATCGCGCTCACCACAGCCAAAATCCAGAACAGCTTACCCATCAGACACCAGCCCAGGGAACTCGATGAGTCCAGGAAGACGTTCAAGGACACAAGAAACACCGCGCAGGAGCGCCTTCCCCAGCTGAACGAGTACATCGCCGAAATCAGTCGCAAGCTCGACGGGTACGCACACACACACACACACATGCAGAACAGCAGAACGGGGAAGGACGGAGAATCAGAAGCGGACGACGAGCACGAGGGCCACAAACCGCTAAGCAAAACGAGGCAAAGGGAGCGCCACCTCACACCCAGGTCGACGACACAGCGGATACGTTGGAGCACCATCACTGGGATCTGCAAGCGAGACCGCCACCGACCGCTACCAGATCCTCAACAGAACAGCTCCACAAGGAAAAACCAAGCGACGGCATACTACAAAGACGAGGCAACGGCCTACAAGCACCAGAGGGATAGCACACATGGCAAGCGCGAGAGCAACGTAGCCAAAACCGCAAGGAGATAGACACCCTCACTCACCGATGGCAGCAGCTACTGCAGACCGTCAAGGATCTGCAGGCCGGCAGCGACAACAAAACACACACGGCCAAGGAGGAGCACGAGAAGAGAGAGAGAAGCACACCTCAAGCAAAAGACCGAGAACCGCATCAATAAGCTCGAGGAGAGCAGAGCCAAGATCTACATAGTCGGGGAGGAGGGAGAGGGAGCACATGTCCAACGCAGAGCAGACAGTAAAATACGTGACGGGCGCAGTTCAGGAGCCACTGAGACAGAGGAACTGCATCGCAGAACATTGTGCCGCCATCGACGAGACCGAAGAGCCAAAAAAGCGAGGACACCATCACCAACCTTCGACTGGAGTTACCGACAGCCGAGCCGAAACCAGCGGAAGTAGAGACTGGAACAGGAGCACAAGAGAATTCACCCGGCGGCCTCAAGAATATATGTATATGTAATACGTACATACACATAGGCACACTACCAACAACACGACCAGCAGCGAGAAGCACAGCAACAACAGCAACAACACCAATCATCCACAGCCAAGGACTTCGAGGAGAGCCAGGTCATCCGACTCCAGCAAGAGGAAGCCAAGACCCAGTGCACCATTCTGAGCCTGAACAGATCCCCCCCCCGTAACGCTGCCCCTGAATGGGCGATTCCGGAAACCCTGAACCCAAAAACGTGTTCATCGTTTGGGGGCGCATTTTTACTTCCGCCGCCTTCCGCCGCGGCAGAGACGACAACTCCTTCGATCCTCGAAGGCAAGGACCTTTTTGGAACGCCCCTAAATGGCGAAGAAGGCCGC